TACACTTATGTGTGGTTTTGATTCAGCTTGGGTGCGGAATTCCATGCACGCATGCGTGACAAATACTAAATTTTATTGCAAACTGAAAAGCGAGTACAGTTTACGGGTTTCGTATTCCTCTTTCGACATCCCGTCTTTTGACAAATTTACATTTTTTGATGGATGACCGCTCACCGGGAAAACGACTGGACTTCATGCAAAATCGATAATCATACACGCTGGAGGTTCGCGCGGCTCCATAGTGCAACACTCCCATCCCAGCTGATTGCTCTCTCCCTCTCACATGCAGGAAAAGGTCGAGATACAGCCAACATGAGCCCACATGTTAACACAGCGCAGGAAGCATTCCTGACTGCTACAAATTTAGCGCAAAAACGCATAACCGCAGCGGCAAGCCTGGTGCGTTGCAGCCAGGGCTGCATATTCTGTGATGCTTTTTGTTGCTCAAAATTGTTGCTAATAACTGATATAAATTGTGCATTGCTGTCCTTGTCCAGTCCGCTCTTACAGACAATTTTGCTGAATTCGTGTTTTCTAGAATGGCGCGCTGAAAGCCAAGACGAAATCTGTCAATGCAATCACTTAATGCCATAGAATATTTTGTTGTTACAAACAAAACTGAAGGAGAAAGAGTTTCATAATTCAAAATTAGCTTTTATGGTTTTAGGCATACTTGATTATTTCCATGTATACTGTGTTGGTACTTGGGAAGTAGTGCCATCTAAACACTGAAAATATTATTTCGGGCCACCAATCTTTACGAAGGTCAACAGCAACTTTTACAGATCTAGTCTGTTGTTGTTTAATGTAGACAGTGCAATGCTTGAAGAGCGAAACACTGCGGAATTAGCGGGGATTACACAAACTGAAAACCGGTTGTTGCGTATGAGCAACGGAATTTCCAAGTCTTTCTCTGGAATTAACAACAAAAATAGACTCGAAAAACGCAGAAGTAGTGGATTTCTGGTATTCAGGACATTAGATTATAAGTCGGGATGCATGGGTTTTTTGGAAGCTAAGTTTTTTCGTCCCGATGAACAAAAAACTTTAAGGTTCCTCCAAAAGTTTCGAAAAGTAAGAGGAGCGATATCGATGTTATTTGTGCGGATGGGTGAGGTGGGAGTGAAAATGTACATGCATCGGTTCAATTTTTTCCATTCACTTAGTAATGAGTGCCTTCAACATCGACTATTTTCAGGCTCTCTTAAACGGCATGGAAATTTTACGCCAATTGTGCACTAACTAATAGTATGACTGAACTTTGATCATCAGTTTGAAGCATGACTTGTTCCCGTTGTGAAAGCAG